TCTGTGAGGATATAGTGGCTGGTAATGGGTGGCTTCATTTTTTAGCCTCCCAGTTAATATATTCATAACTACATGGTTTTTATTAATATTAATGTAGAAACAATAATAATAGCTACCATTTATGAGTGCTTGGCACATTGTAGGTGCACAGTAATTGTCAGCTTATTATAATTAGCCCTGATAATGGCCATTGCTATATTAGTAATAATAATAGTTACCATATAAGCTTGAAGTGAACGGGGCTTTTTATTTTTATTTTTTGTATTATCTCAAGTAAGTGACTGATGGTATATTTACTTTAGGTCAAGGAGTTGATTTGGGGTAAATGAGTAATTTCCTTTCTTTTTTGAAAAAGCAAACTGTATGTGGTGTGTGCATGTGTGTGTGTGTGCGCACCCGTATGCACTCATAAAAATGCATGTTTCTCCTGATTTTAAAAGCATTATAGAGTTGGTGGTTAAGTATGTAGACTTTGGTGTCCAACTGTCTGGATTCAAACTCTGGTTTGTCATAAGCTAATTCTGTGACCTTAGGCAAGTTAGTTAACCTCTCTATAAGTCATAATTTTCCCATTTGTAAAAGGAATAATTATAGTACATAGATCATAGACTTATGAGGATGAAGTGACACAATTAATAAATATTGTGTCCATAATGATACTCACTGATGTAAATTGTTCCTTGTTTTTATTATGGCTGTGATTTAAAAAGAACTGGAAAAATGCAGAAAAGCAAAAGGAGGAGTCATTTAATTGCATTATATAACCACTATTAACAATAACACAGGGCTGTATGCTTCTAACTTTTTTTGTTTATATGAATGCCTAAGTATATTCAATTTTATAAAATTTAGATATAATCATTAACTTGTTTTAATAATTTACTTTTCTGTCCCTAGCATAATTTATTTTATATATCACTTTATAATTTGTGTTATCAATTTACTTTTCTTTGTCTAATATATATTATTATATAGTTTTAATAGTTGCATATTAGTCCGTCATCATATGTATTATATTATTCATTCATTGGACATGTAGAATGCTTTGAAGATTTCATTATTATAAATAATAGGAATCCTAATCTAAATTCACATCTTTTGGTATATATTTGATTAATTTCTTGGTATAATTTTATAATAAATCATTTAATAAGCCATAGAATATTTTTTAGAATTAATACTTTTGGAATAAATTGTCAGATTGGTTTCCATAAAGACTTTAATTTCATTTCCAGCAATAGTATATGAGGTTCTAGTTTCCATGTAATCCTGCTATACCTAGGTAGTATATATGCATAAATGTTTTACATTATGCAATTTAATGGCTTCTGTAGAATATGGAACAAGTCATTTTAATTCTGAGCCTCAGATTTCTAACATGCAAAATTAACTAATGGGTATAGAATTCAGAAATATAATGATAGATCATAAAGTTTATATTGATTCCAGAACCCACTGATATTCCATATTTGAAGTGTAGTTCAAGTGAGAAAGGGCCAAGGTGAAGTTGGGCTAATGCCAGAAGAGGCTGAAGGGATGAATACTAAGGGGCATTTTTCTGCTAATGCCATGACTGTTCAGAATGTCCCAGTGTTGATCAGAAAGTAGTGTAGATAACAGTTATGATTTGAATTTCTGATTGTATCTAATTGCTGTCTATCCTGCTAAACTGTGCTCCATGGGAGCAGGGATCTTTGTTTGTTCATGGATATAATTTATGCCTTCAGCATGGAGCATGACACAGAGTAGGGGATCAATAAGAAGCACCTTATATAAAAATTAATTCATGGATTAAAGACTTAAATGTAAGACCTAAAACCATAAAAACCCTAGAAGAAAACCTAGGTGATACCATTCAGGACATAGGCATGGGCAAAGACTTCGTGACTAAAACACCAAAAGCAATGGCAACAAAAGCCAAAATTGACAAATAGGACCTAATTAAACTGAAGAGCTTCTGCACAGCAAAAGAAACTATCATCAGAGTGAACAGGCAACCTAGAGAATGGGAGACAATTTTAGCAATCTAGCCATCTGACAAAAGTCAAATATCCAGAATCTATAAGGAACTTAAATTTACAAGAAAAAAACAAGCAATCCCATCAAAAAGTGGGCTATGAACAGACACTTCTCAAAATAAGACATTCATGCAGCCAACAAACATAGGAAGAAAAGCTCATCATCACTGGTCATTAGAGAAATGCAAATCAAAACCACAACGAGATACCATCTCATACCAGTTAAAATGGTGATTATTAAATAGAAAACAACAGATGCTGGAGAGGATGTAAAGAAATAGGAACACTTTTACACTGTTGATGGGAGTGTAAATTAGTTCAACCATTGTGGAAGACAGTGTGGGGATACCTCAACCATCTAGAAACAGAAATACAATTTGACCTAGCAATCCCATTACAGGGTATATACCCAAAGGATTATATATCATTCTATAAAGACACATGCACACATATGTTTATTGCAGCATGCTTCCAAAAACTTGGAACCAACCCAAATACCCATCTATGATAGACTGGATAAAGAAATTGTGATACATATATACCATAGAATACTGTGCAGCCATAAAAAAGGATGAGTTCATATCCTTTTCAGGGACATGGATAAAGCTGGCAACCATCATTCTCAACAAACTAACACAGGAACAGAAAACCAAACACCACATATTCTCACTCATAAGTGGGAGTTGAACAAAGAGAACACATGGACACAGGGAGGGGAACATCACACACTGGGGACTGTTGGAGGTGGTGGACCAGGGAAGGGGTAGTATTAGGAGAAATACCTAATGTAGATGACGGGTTGATGGGTGCAGCAAACGACCATGGCATATGTATACCTATGTAACAAACCTGCACGTTCTGCACATGTATCCCAGAACTTAAAGTGTAATTAAAAAGAAAGAAAGATAAACATTGAAAAAAAGAAGTGTCTGTTGAATGAATAAGCTGAATAAAGATACCCTACACTTGTCAAGAGACTGTGCACCCAGTAACCAGCAGTGTATGTACATATACCCATGTAACAAACCATGTATACCTATGTAACAAACCTGCACGTTCTGCACATGTATCCCAGAACTTAAAGTGTAATTAAAAAGAAAGAAAGATAAACATTGAAAAAAAGAAGTGTCTGTTGAATGAATAACTAAGCTGAATGAAGCTACCCTACACTTGTCAAGAGACTGTGCACCCAGTAACCAGCAATGTGCGGTCCCCAGATAAGTATGGATGAGCTGTTATGAATGAGGCCTCTTAGACTTGCCTTTTCCCAGCTCCCATGTTGTGTCCCGCTGATAGTCTTTCTCAGATATTTAATACCTTCAGCCTGTTAAGATTCAGCCCCCCCTTCTAGAATCCATGATTTGCAAAGGAACGTTAGGCCCCTGTGCACTAAACCATTATGGATTGGCTTAATAGTTCAATTCAGAAGGTAGAGTTATTTCTAAGTTCTTAGGGATACTTTATTGCTGTCCTTTCAACTACCTAGAGGAACTACATCATAGGGTGGTTGAGGGTATATTACATGAGATAATATACCATGTAAAATATAGAACTGTTGATCTAGGCAACTGTGTGATGATTAAAAGCCCAAGCTTTGGAGCCAGAACTTTCCAATTCAAATCTGGGCTTCACAACTTAATAGCTGTGTCACCTTAAGCAAATTAGTTAATCACACTATATTCAGTTTTCTTGCTAAAAAATACAAAAAATAGTACCAGTGATTTGGGGATTTAATGAGTTAAAGCATGTGTAGAAGTAAAAATGGTAAGTAAATGTTACCTACTATTTTGATCATTATTAAGAACCTCAATAACTTCATTGAGAATTTGCTATGTGCCAGACACCAAGTATGTATTATCTTAGTTAATCCTTAAAGCAGTTCTGTAGGCTATTACTGTTATCCCCACCTCATGGATATTCAGGTTCAGAAAGTTTTAGTAATACCTTAAAATCATGTAGATAGTAGGTAGTAGAGCCTGGATTTAAATGCAGGTAGGTGTGAAATATGCTCTCAGTGATACTTTTCTTAACATAATTTGAAATATCTGCATTCCTATTGCCATTATAATTTTTAGTATCTGATTTTGAGCCTTTTTAGCTATGCCCAAACCTTAGAACTAACTTTAAGTTCATGTGAGTGTTTAAGCATCCATCTAATGGTTTGTTGGTCTACACTTTCTAAAGACTGACAGTTCTTAAGCTACACTGCCATCCAGTTCACCCGCCTCTCTATTTCCTCTACTAGGATCTTAACAAAATCAGTCCGTTAAATAATTAAATACCAGTTTAAAACTATAGGATGGCAAATGATGACCAAAACAGACAATTTGCATGCCATGGTGTGAGGATAATAAGGTTATAGAATCTTTCCTTGAAAGGTCACAGTGCAGCTATTTCAGTATTCATTTTAAACAGTGAGCTGGAGTTATGCATGCTCTAACCTAACAGTGATTCTTTACTCAGCATGAAAGTGTCCTGATATCAGTAGCAGCAGAGACTCATCCACTATAAAGTGACTGGTTGACTGAGTGCCCTGTGATTGACCAATATCCTTCTTATCACAGTGATGGACTTAAAATTTGAACCCTTTTCAGACACCCTCAGCAGACAAAATAAGGAAAACTGAAAAGCAATCCATTTACAGATGTCAGCACAGCTGCTGTGTTTTTGGATATGATTTGCTCTGCCACATTTGACAGATTATTTTTTATATCTTTGAGATTTATCTTGTTTTCATTGGAATATACTATAAACTGTTCTGTTACCTTTTACAAGGTGAATGAGTTGCGATATTTAGTAAAATTGTCTTTCATAGCCGAGAGATTCCTGTGTACAGAGAGCTAGCATGGCTATCAGTTGGCAGGGTGGTGGCAATTTGTGCATGATACTCATTCAGGTAAAACATTAGCATGTGGCTTATGATAGCATGGGTTTACACGGAGTTCATCTGATGTTTGAAGGTCATGTTTTTCTCTTTAACAGGTTAATTATGTATGGTTTTGTGAAGGCTATGATACAGGCTGGCCAGTTGAAAAATGGAGACTTTCATTTTACTGACTGTTTATTTTTTGGTTCACTGATGTCTGCTACAGATCCAGGTAATTGCTCAAATAATGTATTTTCTTCTTTTAAGAATCAAACATTTAAATTGCATGTTGCTCCCAAGACCATCACCTGAGTCCACATAATAATTTATATTCCTCTTCACCTTCAGTTGACATAGCTGTTAGTAATTACAAAAGAAAAGGGGAATATTTTAATAGTGCTAAAAAATTGGTTAAAAAGTAATTTTAGTAATAGAAGAGATCTTTAACATCATTATAGTTTATTTCTCTAGAATAAGCTTTTCCAACCAGCGGCCCATGGGCTGCATGTGGCCCGGGATGGCTCTGAATGCTGGCCAACACAAATTCATAAACTCTCGTAAAACATAATGAGATTTATGCACAGATCTTTTTATTTGCTCATCAGATAGTGTTAGTGTTAGTGTATTTTATGTGTGGCCCAGGAAAATTCTTTTCTTCCAGTGTAGTGTAGGGAAGCCAGAAGATTAGACACCCCTGCTCTAGAACATGTAGCCATTTTGAGTTATCATCCTGAATTTTTCTCCAGTCAATGTAGCTTCTCTTCTTTTGAGATTGTTGTATTAAATTAATGGCTTAAAGATATTTTAAAACATTATTTACTATGGTACTTTTCAAGCACATCAAACATAGGGAGATAGTAAAAAGTATTGGCATACGCCCTTCAGCAATTATCAAATATGGGCAATCATCTTGTTATACCCCTCCCACACTCTCTCTTTCATCATGACTGGATTATGTTAGAGCAAATCCTAGCCATCATATTATTTTCTTTGTAAATGTTTTGAAAAATTAGAATTGCCATTGTAAGATCTAAAACTATTAATAATCATTCTTTAATAATGTCCAAAATCTGGTCATTGTTTTAATATCCCTAATTGTCTTATTGTCATTATTTTTATAGCAGTTTGTACAAATCAAGATCCAGACAAGGGCTGCATATTACAATGGATTGATATGATTGTTGAGCCTCTTTTTATCTAGAAGTTCCCTTTTATTTTTTATTTTCTTGTCATTTATTTGTTTTAAAAAAGAGATAATTTGTCTTGTGGTTGAATTGAATATAGCTCCTTAAAATATTTCTCAGTGTCCTGTATTTCTTATAAACTGATGGTTAGATCCAGAGGTTTAATCAGATTCAGGTTCAACTTTTTGGCATGATTACTTTAAAGTTGGTGCTGTGAGCCTTCTATTCCATCACCTCAGGAGGCAAATAGTGATTGGTGACTCAGCTGTCAGCCTGAGCCATCACATTATTGGATTGCTATTCCAGCAAAGACTACCAGAACACACCTGTAGTTGAACAAGATGGTTTTATTACTCGTTGCAATGAAAGTGGGTGACATAGGGAACCATGTTACATCTCAGTGGGTATTAGAAAGGACTTATTATAGGACCTGGGTTTATGTTTGGTTATTTTAGTGAGGGTTTAAGGTATCAGGGCTTTGGTCTGGATTCGATGCTGTTAGGAAGTGGGAATAACTGCAAGACTGGGCATCTTAGTTAAGTCTTATTTAGAAGGAGGAAAGACTTGATTGAGCCTAAAGCTACAATTGGTGAAGAAGCAGTGGTGATTCACAATAGCCAGGATAGGGGGATGTTTGGTCAGTTTTGTGGTTTGGACAATGTTCATTATATGTGTTTAGACATAATTACATAGTAATACTCTTTTTGTCTGGGTCCATCATGGTCACAGAATAACCTTGCCTGATGTCATTCTGCGAAGTTGTTTTTGTTCAGCAGGAGAATGCCAAGGCCCTAGTTAACAGTATCAGACCAACTATTGAATGCTGGGCTGCTCTTCTCTTTCTTTTTTTTTTTTTTTTTTTTTTTTTTGAGATGGAGTTTCACTCATGTTACCCAGGCTGGAGTGCAATGGCACGATCTCGGCTCTCCGCAACCTCCGCCTCCTGGGTTCAGGCAATTCTCCTGCCTCAGCCTCCTGAGTAGCTGGGATTACAGGCACGCACCACCATGCCCAGCTAATTTTTTGTAGTTTTAGTAGAGACGAGGTTTCACCATGTTGACCAGGATGGTCTCGATCTCTTGACCTCGTGATCCACCCGCCTCGGCCTCCCAAAGTGCTGGGATTACAGGCGTGAGCCACCTCGCCCGGCCTGCTCTTCTCTTTCTTAGGAACATGTAAAAATCTTTCTTAGCTAGGAGCAGTGACTCATGCTTATAATCCCAACGCTATGGGAGGCCAACGTGGGAGTATCACTTGAGCCCAGGAGCTCAAGACCAGCCTGAACAACATAGGGCAACCCTATCTCTCCAAAAGATAAAATAGTAGCCTGGTGTGGTGGTGCATACCAGTAGTTCCAGGTAGGCTGAGATGGGAGGATCACCTCACAGGCCAGCATGATTGGCACCACATAGTGACTTTTATAAATGTAAAATATCAGGCTTGACCACAGACCTTATGCACCAGATGCTAGAATTTAACAGTATCCTCAAGAGATTCATATGCACATTAAAGTTTATGAAGCTTTACATTTTAGAGTTTCCCGTTTTACCCAATAGCTTTAATATCCATTGATGGTTTTTGCTTAAGCTATATTTATTACGGGTTACAAAACTAGTGGTATGCTAATCTAATCCTACCTTTTGCATTTATTAGCTGGTGGTACTCTCCTTAATGAAGTAGTTTTCCAGTTCAATTATTTCAGTACCCAATGGTATAATTTAAACAACAAAAGCAGGGCAAATAATCCATTTTTTTCTCTTTATTTACTAATTTTCAAAGGAATGTGTTGTGGAACATTCTGCACATGTGACCAATGAGATGAGCTTTTTAAAATGTATCATTATGAGCACATGGATTTTTACATAGATGATATGTTTCAGTCTGCTGTTGTCATTATATTCTTTTCATGATCTCAATATTCCATTTTTTTTATAAGTGAGAGCCTCTTCAAGTTTATCCTGTATCCTTTTATTATAACCCCAACAGTTTTTGATAGGCTTCATGCTTTTGGGTAAGACTAGATGTTTCAACCTTACCTTGTATATTTCCTGCACCCTAACTAGGAATTACCCATTTCTCCAAAAAGCCTTGGCTCTTTCTAAGAGGGAAATTTAGCTGAAGACCATAATCTGGGCACTAAGAGATTGCATTGCTGCTGGATTGGTAATTGTTTTTAGACCTTTTATTAAAAGGAGAAATTATATCACAAATTCATAAGATTTTCAGTTAAAATTTAGTACTATAGGAACTTAACTGCCTTGAATTTTTATTTACATTTTTATTTTCTTCTGCCTACTCTTTTTCTTCCTACACATTAATGTACTTTCTTACTTGCTTAAAACATATTCTGAAAAGCATTATATATACTGTTACTAAAAATGTAATAACTAAAACTGCTTAAGATTTTATTGTGGTTATTTTTAACCTTTGGATATATCCTGCTAGTGATGTATGGTTAAAAAGGACTCTGTTTTTAAAATCACTTGAAATAATTTCTCTGTGTGTTTAAGCCACAAGTCAACATATAATAATGTTCATTTGTTTTATTTTGATCTTGAATCTTGTTTTAAAATTAGATTATTTATAGGACTCTAAAAAGAAAACCACAGAACAAAATAAGAGAAATCTAGCTTCCCTCCCTGTCTCCTTTACCCTAAATTTCCAATGATGTTGATTGGTTTTTGGCTTACTCTTCCATTTTTAAATTTAAGCAAATAAACATGCACACATTCTGCTATATGCTACGGTGCACATAGTTCTTCACCTCACTTTTATTTAGTTAACAATATTTTGAAGATCTCTTTTTAGCAACATTTAAGAATCTTTCTCACCTGGGACCAGTGGCCCATGCCTATAAACCCAACCCTATGGGGGGCCAAGACCAGCCTAGACAACATAGGGAAACCCTGGCTCTCCAAAATAAAAAATAAAAAAAATACCCTTGTGTGGTGGAGCACACTAGTAATTCCAGCTATAGCTACTTGGGAGGCTGAGCAGGGAGGATCACTTGAGCCCAGAAGGTTGAGGCTGCAGTGAGCTATGATCATGTCACTGCACTCCAGCATGGGTGACAGAGAAAGGCCCTGTCTCAAAATAGATAATAATCTTTCTAATTCTCTTCAGTAGTTGAAGAGTACCCCATAGTTTATTCAGTCAGTCTTCTATTGATGAAAATTTGGGTTCTTTCTTCTGCAATTATGCATGGCATTGAAATTAATAGCTTTTCACATTTTGACAGTGTTTCTTTGGGAGAAACTTCTGGAAAGAGATCATGGTAAATGCAATTTTAATTTCCCTAGATGCCAAACTCCTCACCATAAAATTTGTACCATTTTGCATATGTACCAGCAAGGTATGACAATAACTGTTCTTCACAGTCTTGTCAAAACTTGGTGGGGGAGGGTTATCTATATGAAAGGCGAGGGTTTATATATCCCTGTAGCATGACTTCATACTTTTTATTGTGAGTATTTCTATTATGAGCAGGATTGTATGTTTGTATTTTTGTGTTTTATTATGAGTAAGATTCATATGTTTGGGAGACATGAAATTTTTGGAAAAAATTTTTTTTCTATTATGTATATATTATATATTTTCTACTTGTAAGGCATTCTTTTCCAGTAGAGTCATTAGACATTTCAAGGTTTAGATGCCCTTAATATGTTAGGAATATTAATCTTTTGTCTGTAATATAAGTTACAAACAGTTTTCCTGATTTGTCATGTTTTATTTTGCTTATGGAATGAGGGGTGGGGGAAGTTATTATATGATGAAAGAACGTGAAATGAAAGTATCTTAGGTTTAGAACCCATGGTGTAAATTGAAGATCAGAGCTGCACAGTGGTATACAGGGATAGAATGCTCTAGCCTCAGGGTTAGAAATCGCCTTGGCACTATGTCATTGCCAGAATATTTCACCCTCATATAGCCCAAGGGAAATGCAGAAGTCTCTTGGCAGCTACTGGAAGCATGGACTCAAGACAATATATTTTCAGCCTATCTAGCTAGTTAAGAATGTTCTCTTCTGCCATACGTAGATAGTCTACCTTTCAGGGTCAGGTCTCATTTTGTATCACCTTTGCACAAATCTGCAAGTTCAAAAGCACTGCAACTAACATTCCCTGGTCCCAACACTGAAGGCTGAGTTTGTTGCCTTCTACTGAGTGACTCAGCTAGCTCTAAACACAATTGAGTTGTAGTCAAGCCTCTCTCCTTCCGTGGCAGGTAATGCCCCTGAAGTTATGTTTAGATAGCACAGGAAAACCAATTAAAATGGAAAAATGAAACATCCAGGCCTGGCACAGTGGCTCATGACTGTAATCCCAACATTCTGGGAGGCCAAGGCAGGAGGATTGCTTGAGGCCAGGAGTTCTAGATCAGCCTGGAAAACATAGCAAGACCTTTTCTAAAGAAAGAAAAGATAAGAAAAGAAAAGAAAGAGAAGAGAAAGGACGAGGGAGAGGGCAGAGGGAAGGCAGAAGGAAAGAAGAGTAGGAGGAAGGGAGGGAGGGATCCAACTTGGTAATATGGTTATTTATTTCCATTGTGTAAAACAACTGAGCTGACTGAATTTTTAAAAATACAATATTGGCTCATAACCATAAAGAGCATCCTGAGGCCCAAGTCCACTTTCCAAGTTTGGCATGGACCAGCTGTGCAACTTTGGGCAGCCACTTACCCTCTCTAGATATACATTCTTGGAAGTAGAAGATATTGTTTCTCATTACTTCCAACTGTTTTTTTTCTTTAACAGACAAAACTAACTCTTCATCTGCAAAATAAAAAATTTTAACTAAAGGTCTAATACCCTTCCAGATCTAACATTCCATGATTTTTATTCTCATAAGACTGGTTTTTATTTAAAACACGCTTTTATTTTGGAGAAAATAAAAGTCAATCCAAAGACTGCTAACCTTATATTCCGAGGTTCCAACCTCAAATCAACAAATGCTAAAGATGATCTCATAAGGTAGAAACCCACACATGAATAGGAACCCTTAAAATCTCCATTTTTACTGGGAACTAATGTTATATTAAAACATGCTGAACCCACTCTTTGCTAAATTGGTGCAATTTAAGATCTTCAGCAACCTTAAAACACCTAGTTAATCTTAACCCACAATTATTCATTTATTGCCTAAATTATTGTGACTCATTAATTCATGAGAGGGAACCTGTGCTCTCCAGGTCTGATATTTCTTGGCCTTTTAAAATTAATTCTTTCCCGTTTAGCCCTAGCTAAATATTAGCTAGGTGTTATTTCTTTTATATTCATTTTTTATGGATACACATTTAGTCTTAAATTCTTCCTGCACGTTTCAGACTCTCAGCCAATTTTTGATTTAGCTCCATTGGGGATTATTTGACTATAATTTGATTCATTTTATTTCCTCCTTTTCTTACTGATGAAGATCTTACTGATGATGGAAAGGTCAGCAGGGACAGACAGAAATACACAGAGGGCTCAATCAGTGAGCCAGCTCTTCTGGTATGTGCAAAAAACAGAGACTAGGAGGATGAGGAATGGGAGAGAAAAGATAAACAAAACTCAAGAGAGCAAAAACCCCAACAACTGGAAATAGATGATTTGTTTAACAGCTCTCATTTTGCAATTGACCAAAGCTTGTCAAGGAGCTGCCTAGCTTCACACTATCCTCTTGTCTCTTTCATTGTTGTCTTGGGTTGCCATTTGGTAAATTTGACTATCTAACACAATTCTGATTAGTAAGTCGGAAATATACTTTTATATTGGGTAGGTGAGATAAAGAGGGAGGTATTTAAGGTGTGTAAAGACACGTGGAGATGCCAGCATATCCGTGTGCCTTGATCATACCGGTTTTGTGACTGCTTCGGGGTATTTGCACTTGTTGCTACCTCCCCACCTTCTTCAGGTCTATACTCAACCATCGCCTAGTGAGAGCCTTTCTTGCTCACCCTATCAGATATTGCACCCCTCCCCAAAACACCCCAATCACAGAGCTTTCTATCCCCTGTCTGTGCCTTACTTTCTTCCCATCTCTAATCACTAATCACTATTGATCTGTTTATTTATTTACTTATTTCTTTGTCTCCTGTGGGGAAGATGTTTTTTTCCATTTTTCTGGATTTTTTCCTATCTTTTAAATCTTACAGTTCTGATATCTAGAACAGCAGGTTCTTAATAAATACCTGTTAAATCAGTGAATTAATATAGCTTGAGGAAGAAACTACCAGGGTAAAGTGTGTCATGGGAAAGGGGATCTCTTTTCAATTATGAAATGTGAAGCAGTTGAGTATTCTAGGTCACCCTAGAAGATGAGGTGTCTTATGGCCCCTGGAGGGACGGTCTCCAAAGATGAGGGTTGACTTCCAGCACATAGCTGCATTTCTAACATAGAGCTGGACTTCCAGCACATAGCTGAGTGGCAATATCAGTTTCTGTCCACCAGAGAAGGTATATTTAACTAAAGCAAAGATATGTGCCTTCCTTCTTGTCCCACTGTACAGCAAATATTTCTTTCTCCTACTTACCTGGTTGTCAGTGGCTGAACATTTTCCAGAGCATGCCAAGCTATGATTTGTAGACTTGCAAGAAGCAGTTATAATCATGTGATTTTTCTAAGTTGGAAGATGTTCAAAATAGTAGCTTCCTTTAGGAAAAGGAAGAACTCAGCACATTGTATCAAGTATTAAATAATCACCCAGAAGATGCCAGAAACTCATCCTGATATTTACAGAACTGACATTTCCTCCAAGGTCTTCAGGAAGCCACTCATTTAAGTACGTGTGTTCTCTGTGTTTTCTCACGCCATCAATTTCCCTGTTTCCTATTTGGATTAGAGTGTCTTCATTTTACATGATGCAGCTGCATTGAGACTCAAATATAGCTGTACTATTTTGAACTCCAGAAGTATTAATCCAATATTCAAAATAAGAAAATAATTCTTAATTCAGAGACTTGTCCAATTTTTCCCCTAGAGAATTAATCCAGGGTGTCTTGATGTAGGTAACATTAGATAGGGCATATTCCAGAGTTGCTGTGTCTGATATGACACTTACAAGATTCATGTGGCTACTGAACCCTAGAAATGTGACCAGTCCAAATTGATATGAGATGCAAGTATAAACACACCCTAGATTTCCAAGACATCATTTGAAAAAAGTGACACATCTCATTAATAATTTTATACGGTATTAATTACATGTTGAAAGGATAGAATTCACTTAAGAATGAGTTAAAATATTCTATAAATCTAATTTCCTTATTTTTTTAACTTTTTTTAAGGTGACTATTAGAATATTTAAAATTACATATGTGGCTCGCATTATATTTTATTGGACAGCACTCCTGCAAATACATATAAAAATGAAACTGTTGGAAACCAAAACCATTATCCTTAATAGAAATACTGTAATAATTTAAAGTTGAGTAGTAAGTACAGATGTAGTGTTAAGTACAGATACAATGCACTGCATAGATTATGCCATTTGGTAAAATATAGGCAATTTATTTTTATGATATTGAACTAATATGTCTGAGATTTTCTTTCTGAAATCTCTCCTCCCAGTCTCATTTTTCTGCTCCAATACATAATAACCTATAAAATACTTTACACCCAAGCTTCAGAAATAAGAGAGTAAATATCTATATGATTCAAGTATCATATATGTGCCACTTAAACCATGAATACTGTAGCCTTTGACTTGGGGACAGCGGATTAAATAAACTCCTGTCCAAACATGTCAATTGTACTCTTTTTGTTATAATATAAAGAAGTTTTTAAAGCCTGACAATCTCAGCATTGTTTTTGGAATGCCCATTACTGTTTTGTCTTATATAACTTATCACAGGTTCAAGAAAATTGACGTTTATATTATGTTAGCCTGGCTACAAAGTATGTTGACACATTTAATATTCCTAAATTGGGTAGACTCAATATCAAAAGTAAATATTTATCTAAAATGAGTAAATGGAGACAACCTGCATATCCAATTGGAAAACACAGCCTAAATTTTTTTCATGAAGTTTAGATTTAAAAAATCTATTTGATGTAAATTATTAGTTTACTTCTCTCACCAAACAAGGCAAAATATACAAGTGCTTAATAGGATCTATTTTTTTATCTGTATTATCATCAACACTAGATAATATTTAAAGACTAGATCATCACCGATGCTTCACAATATAAAAGGCCCATTGAGTTTTGCACAGTACATAGTAAATACTTATCGAATAGAGCAGTCATTGACTATTGATGAAGAACACTTCATGGTGTGGAACAGTCATGTTTAAATCTTCATTTTATCTGACTCACTTGAGCCTCAGTTACTCCAAATATAAAATGGGAATATAAGATTTATTTTAAAGGTTCTTGATAAGGATTAAATAAGATAATATGTCTTATTTTTATTGTTATGTTGACATTATTTTTAATCTGCACTAAGTAGGGGCTGCTATTTTAGCATCAGTATAATACAGTGAAATGTGTACATTTTTGCTTGTTTTCATAATAATGGATTTCCGTGATTCTTCCTACCTGGTTAGTTCTCCCATGACCAACCATATTCATTTGTGAGTTGCTCGTTTAAAGTTGGGAGTGTGGTATGTGTAATGTGGTAATTTTGCTTTGAATGAAACACAAATATATTTTGATGTCTAGCCTTATAGATAAAAGGCCATAATTTTTAAAAGCAAATCTCAGACACTGTCATTTTGGTATGCATCTCTAAGGTTAATTAAGGGCGTGGTTCTTATGTGTCATGAAGCCATTATCCAATCTGAAAAATGTATTTTGGTATGCATGTCTAAGATTAATTAAGGACATGATTCTTATGTGTTGTGAAGCCATTATACAACCTGAAAAATGTTCCATAATCCATCGGTGTCATCTAACAACCAATCCATATTAAAATTTTCCTTATTTTTGCCCTTTGCCTTTGATAACCCAAACAGGTTTCATAAATAATATTTAGTTGTCTCATCTTTGCATTCTCCTTTAATCTACAGCAGTGCTCCCTCCTACCTTTTTAAAAAATGCTGTTATTTAGAAAATTGGGTCAGTTATAAAAGATGTACCACATTCTGGATTTGTCTCCTTCCCATGATATCATTTAATTGTTCCTGTATCCTATTTCTGTAAGTGAAAGTTTGCTTTTGAGAGTACTGATTATTTAGATTCAAATTCATCAGTTTATGCAAGAATATTAAATAGGTGATGCTTGGGCGATTGTGTTACATCATATTAGAAGCCACACAATGACTTTTAGTCAGACTAAAAGTCTCGGTGCTGACTTTTACTGATGCTAAATGTGACCAATGGGTTCAGGTGGTGACAGCCTGATTCCTCCTAATAAATTTCCCTATAAAACTTTCGTACAATGGTTTCATCCATTGATGCTGATTCTTTGAACCTATTAGTTTCATTAGAATCAACAAAATGGGATTATTTTCTATCACTTCTTCGAAATTATTAGCTAGAATTATTCTTGTGGCAAAAATGTCCTATATTCTTATTCTTTTGATCTGCTACTTGTATCACCTAAATGGGATGTAAAGATCTTGTCTAGATCCTTGGTCAAATAATGTGGCCATAAATAAATTTACATTTTAAACATACAGTTTTAAACAAAACCACAATTCCATCATCATGCCTGAAATATTAATATTAATTTAGTGGTAAGCAAAATAATGGCCCTCCAAAGATGCCCATACCTTAATCTTCAGAATCTGTGAATATATTACCTTAAATAGCAAAAAGGGATTTACAAGAGTGATTAAATTAAGGACCTTGAAATGTGGAGATTACCCTGGATTATCTGAATGGGTCCAGTTTAATCACATGGGTCTCTAAAAGTTGTGGAACTTTTCCTGCTGCAGTCAGAGGAAGATGTGACTATGAAAGAAAGGTGCATAGAGATATAATATTGCTGACTGTGAAGATCGAGGAAGGGAGCTATGAGCCCAGGAATGTGGGTGGCCTCTGGAAGTTGGAAAGGGCAAAGAAACTGATTATCCTCTTGTGCAGCTCCGCTGAAATCTTAGTTTGATATAACTAAGACATGTGTTGGACTTCTAATATACAGAAATGTAATAAATTTGCATTATTTAAAGTCACTAAGAACAAAAATGGCAAACTAATATAATTTTAAATATTATAAAATATATAGCTTAGTTAAAATTTCCAAACTTATACAAACTTTTATAGCTGTTTTCATTGATCCAGACAATGTATGCACAATGTATTGAGATATAAAATAGAATGATTTAAAACATTAAAAGTGTAGTATACTTTTGTGGAAAGAGATGCTTCTTTTAATTTACCACCCTTACTTTATAAAGGAGCAAACTAAGGTTTAGAGGTTAGTGACTTGGCCCTAAGACAGTCATTTCAAAACTTAACATTACAATCACTCTTAAAAATTCATGAAGGTCAACAGTGGATTCTGGAAAAGTAGTGACCTTAACTTGGCTTTCTTGCACTTTATTACTATAATTTATCTGATTTTCCTAAGGCGAAGAGCTGTTGGTTCCTATATGCAATCAAGTGCTGGTGAAGCCTTGAGCTTTGTGCAAACCCTACAGAAATAACAGATACTGAGCTTTCTCTACCATGAGTAGCATGAGCCTCTAGATACCAGTTTTAAAGAAGTCTTTAGGTGGAGACTGGAAAGCTATGAATCCTGAAAAGATGTTTGGGTTGTAGAAATCTGTGGGCCTTGGTGATAGGAAGGTGATAGTAGTTGACATTAGCCTGCATGAATGAATTGATTCCTTGCTTACTGGGTAAGGGAGCTGTCTCCTCCTGGTGCCTGAAGGGTAGCTCCTCTGCTTCTCCATCACTGGCCTATCTTGTGCCACTCACAGGACTGCTATCTTCTGTCCAACAAACAGTCTTAAACTCCAAAAAGCCAACAAAGAAAGATAAAAACATGTCAAGACTTTTCAGCAGCCTGAGAGAGGAAGCCTGGTCAGAATAAACAGAGCACATACCCAGGGAATAAGTTCCTGAAATAATCAGAAAGTAATTTGAACAACCTTATGAAAGACCTTACAAAAAGAACTCAGCAATGTTAGTTGCACATGGTCAGAAATTTTGTTCACTAATGTATTCCCAGTGCATATAACTATAAGCTGTCTCAGAGGAGACAATCAGTAAATACTTGTCAGATAAATTAATCCATCACAAAAATAATAAAGTTAGGCAGAATATACCATGAAAGTGACAGTGGTACAATATCATGAAACCCATTCACATAATCTATTACACCAATACATTATAAGAGAATAAAATATATAATCATATCAGTGAGGAAAAGACATTTAATAATATGCAGCAGCATTACTAGTAAAAAAGAAAAAACTATTTAAATATAATTCAAAGTATTTCCCAAAATCGAATACCAAATATTATCCTAAATGAACACTTGAAATTGGATAATTGACAGAGGTTTTATTTATAGAGGACTTGTTGCAAAGTTTATTTGTAGGAGAGTTACAAATAATAGTGGATGTCTGGAACTTGGGAGTGGCCAAACAGCTATCACTCTTAGGTTCAAAGCAATAAGAGGAGAGAGTGGTCACTAGAACTCAGTGGGAGAAAGTTTGTGGAATACGTCACCCGGTGGAGAAGAATAAGCTTCTGTTCAGGGACACTTTTAGTTCAAGGTAGTATTTCAGGGGAAAATGTCAGGGAATAAATACCGAAGTCTTTTCTTCTACCCTCCTCTAATCTCCTCTGGGGCTCCTCATTGGCCAAACTCAATTAGAAGCTAGAAGGCATGGGCACCTATTTATGTAGTTCATGTGGTCAGTGTCCTAAAGCAGAGAATATGTAAAGGGAAAAATTGAAGATAATGGCATGGAAGTTCTAGCAAATGCAGTAAAAAAATGAAAAGAAATAAAACTTTCCATAAAAGTAGAAACTAGGAAATAAAGCTGCCATTTTTGTTGATGTTACTATATTAAAAAAAAAAAAAACTATTAGAATTAAAAACAAAATTTTGTGAGGTGCTCAAGTGTAAGATAAATATACAAACTCCAATAGCATTTTTAAAATTTAGCAGCAAGTTTCTAAAAATAAAATTCAGTATCTGTAAAACTTACAACTATTTGGGACTAATTTTAACAAAGAATAAAGGTATAAAATTTTAAGGAATATAAAATATAAAACAAAATATGAACAAATGAAGTCACAACATGTTCTAGGATGGGAAGATTTAATTATGGACATACTTTCTCTTTTTCTTCTTCCTAGATTTTTTTCATGGAGTCCTTTTTAAACAATGAAAAATGTAGCAAACTATATATAGTCCCTGTTACTTTTCATAAACCTTCCAGCAGTTTCTAAATTTCTCATTCTATGTGAATACATCATTTAAAAATATTTTTAATGTTAGTTTATGTGTGACAATCTTTCCAAAGCCTTGTATGCCTGAAAATTTTTCATTATGCCCTGACATTCAAGAGCAATTTGTTTAGATAAAAAAGTATAGATTCAACATTATTTTCTTTTTTTATTCCTTCAAATATTTATTTCTCTTCATTTTATTTTAATCATGTCTGGTACTTTTATTATCTATATGTTACACCTCTATTTTTATCTCTCATGTCTCTTAACATTTTAAAAATGTACTTTTATCTCTTCAATCTTTCTTGCTTCCTGCTGAAAGAGTTCCTCAATCAGGTTTCCTATTTATCTAACTCATTTCTTCAATTGTATCCATTATCCTATATATTCCATCTATTATGATCTTTTTTCCAACTGCTATGTTTTTCATACCTGACATTTCTTCTTATTTATTTTTATTTTCTTCTGTCTCTTTGTGTGTTTAATATACTTATTTTAAATGTTTTATATATTTATTCTAATACTTCTGTTTTTTGTTGATTTTTCTCTAAGTTGTTATAACCTTCAGGTGTCTAGTTATTTTTCACTGTTTGCTCATGTTCCTTTAGGAGTATCAACTATTGAATTGGCAATATGTGTTGGAGAAGGGCCTCAAAACTACAGCTATCATCCCACTAACCCAGTGTAGTGACTTTAAGCCTCAGAAAATATTAACTGTGAAGACATTTTTTGCTAGTTACCACTGGGGGAATGCACTACTGGCATTGGACGGGTGGGGGCAGGGATGCTACTAGACTTTGAAAAGACACTGGACAGCCCCCAACAGCAGATAATTGTTTGGTCTAAAATATCAGTAGTGCCAAGGTTGAGAAACCCTGCCCTAGCCAACTTCTCAGGTTGGGGTTTAGGCCCTAAGGGAGAAACAACATTGATAATCCGTTAGCCCAGGATTTGTAGGGAAAGAGGATGCCTAAGGTTGCTCAGTCTCTACCTGTTCTTATCAACTCCTTACCCCAAAAGATCTTTTGCACTGACCGGACATAACCCCCGTGAACACCTGCCCCAGTGTTTAGCCAATTGTGTGTGCTTTGTGTGGCAAGGAGTTAAGCAGTGATTACTCCATGGAAATATCACTGAGCCAAATGGCAGAGCTTGAACAGTTTTTTTTTGTTTCCTGATTTTTTTCTTTCTCTCTCTCTTTTATTTTTTTTCACTGCTGTATGTAGCTCCCCATTGCCGGATTTGCAGCACTCTTCCCATCTCCCTCACCTCTTTCCTGCACACACCAATCCAAAACGGTGCCTCTTTTCCCTGGGGATTTCTCATGGCTTTTGTTGTTATGTTAGTTTCAACTCCGCTTTTCTCTATATACTTTCTTTTATTATTTTTATTTTTTTCTTTTCAAGACTTTCCATCCAGTAACATATCTATATACTTTCTTCACCATTGACTTTGTAGAGGAAGGCAGTAGCCAGTGCTATTATAGTTCACCATCTTGGTGATGAAAAGAAAGCTTTCATGAAAAGTCTACTTTCCTCCAAATTCATATAAAAACTTAACCTAGGCTGGGCAAGATGGCTCAAACTTGTAATCCCAGCACTTCGGGAGGCCAAGGCAGGCAGATCACCTGAGGTCAGAAGTTAGAGACCTGGCCAACATGGTGAAACCCCATCTCTACTAAAAATACAAAAAAAAAAAAAATGCTAGATGTGGTGGCACATGCCTGTAATCCCATCTACTCTGGAGGCTGAGGCAGGAGAATCACTTGAACAAGAGAGTCGGAGGTTGCATTGAATCCAGATTGCACCACTGCTCTCTAGACTGGCAATAGAGTAAGACTCCATCTCAAAAAGAAAAAAAAAAAAATTAATGTAATTTAAATGAAAAGTTACCACTGTAAACATTGAAACTGGATAAAATTATCTTAAAGCTTATAAAGTGGAATAAAAGCATGAGATAATCTGCCTAACCAGATATAAGAACATACTACAATGCCATTATAATCAAATCAGTGTGGTATTGTCCTCAGAATAGCAAGACCAGAAAAAAATAATAGATGATCCAGATGCAGATTTCAGTAAAAAGTAAGAATTTGACAGAGGTGGTATTTCAATTTAACAGGGAAATGATGGTTTATTTAACAGATGGTACTAGCACAATTCACGGGCTATCAATTTAGATGATAAAATTGAACACATATAACCATTTATAAAAATATATTTACAAGAATTAAAATGTAAATAATGAACTTTTTAAAAACTACTGCAAGAAAATCTGTAAATCTATATCTACACATTATAGTTATAGAGACTCAATAAAGAATGGAAAACCAGAATCCATAAGTAAAGCATAGACATATTTGAATATACAAAAAGAAAATACATTTAAGTGGAAAAGACATCACAAACAGTCAATAGATAGCAACACACTGGGGAAAAATTATTTAAATACAGAGGACAGAATATTACTATTTCTAATACACAAAGAATACTTTAAAATGACAACCTGGAAAGAAGTAACAGAAACACTGACAAAGACTATGAAGAGGCAATTCATAGACACACAAATCCAGTTGTGCCTCAAATGTAAAAACTTATTCCAACTCCCAAGAAGTCATGGAAATATAAAATAAAGTAACAGTGTATTATTTTATCCCGAGCAGTTTGGCAACAATTATAGTACCAACTAACAGTCATTGCTGGCAAGGATGCAGGGAAGAGTAGACTTTTACACATTTCTAGAGAACATTTAAATCATTAACAGACTTCTGGAAAGCAATTTGGCAACAGCTATTATACCTTAAAATATATAGCCCCTTTTGACCAAGCAATCTGACTCCTAGGAGGCTATCTCACACAAGTAAAACCACGAGTGCTTAAGGATCTATGAACAGAGATGTGTACTGCATCATTTTTAAGAGGATAGATTGTAGGACATCTACACAAAATTGTGTATCTATTTAAAAAAATAATCAGTACTCTTTCAGTTGACTTGAGAGTTTTCCAGCAGGCATTGTTGACTATGTAAAGTAAAATGCAAAAATGTATGTAAAACATGATTCGCATTTTTAAATGCGGAGGTCACCCTTATGAATCTATATGTAGATAATTGACCCTGTGTGTGTGTGTGTGTGTGTGTGTGTGTGTGTGTGTGTGTGTGTGTAACTTTTATATTGAAAAGTGGGACTTGTGAGGTATAGCCACAGAAACTGTTTTTTTTTTCTCCTACTCTACCCTTAAAAGTATTGTGTGGGACTACTCCTTTCCCACTTGCTGGAAAGAAATATCTTGTTCGTGAGTTGTAATCACAGACTCAACTCAGTAATGAACATGTGCAATCCCATGTAATAATGCAAGGCAAGAATCAAACAGCATCCCACTGTGTCCCCAAACTCCATGTGTGTCATCTTAAGCTGTCTGACGTTCTAGGGGGAAGTTTCTTTTCACAGGCTTGAGAGGTGCAAACAACCCCAGCCCACCCCATGTGGGAGTGGAGATTTACAACTCAGGAATAGTAAAAGAACTCCCTTCACAAATCTTAACCTCTAGCCTAGGATCTTTCACATTCATAAATGGTAGAAGTTCAATGGAGTCATGTAACTGGTTTTCAGACATGTGCTTTTAAGATTATACATCTCACTACATAAGATGGATTTTTGCTTTGTTCCTCAGTTTAAACATCTATTTTAACATTGTTACAAGTGTGTGTGTAATCGTTATAATGAGAATTTTAGTATAAAGAGAAATTGGTAGGATATGTACTAGGTCAGGGGTCCCCAGCCCCCTGGGCCACAGACAGGAACCAAGCTGCAAGGCAGGAGGTAAGTGGCAGGCCAGCGAGCATTACCTCCTGGGCTTTATCTCCTGTCAGATCATCAGCAGCATTAGATTGTCATAGAAGACTGAACCCTATAGTGAACTGTGCACGTGAGGGAGCTAGGTTGTGCATGCCTTGTGAGAATCTAATGCCTGATGATCTGAGGTGGAACAGTTTCATTCCGAAACCATCACCACCTCGCCTTCCTCCCCAGCACCCGCAGGAAACCTGTCCCTGGTGCCAAAATATTGAGGACCGCCGTACTACATTGTAAAATTGGGTTCCTTGGGGAGAGAGGAGATACGAGTTTAAGAGAGGAAGAGGTGGAAAAAAGAGAGACACACCAAAAAAGTAAAGAAAAAAGACTATTTTAAAAAACAACTAAACAAAGGGTTTGCATATTATGATCATATTTATTATGCATTTATGTGGAAAGACATCGGTATACTTGACTTCAAAATTTCATAAAAGTGAGAAAATCAACCAATCATTTTTATATCATATTAGTAAATCACTCTGAAGTGTAATGAGAAAATCTTAAAGGAAAGTCTTCAAACTCAATATGATACTGTGTCTGCCATGAAGTGAAAAAAAAATAAAAATCAATGACTTCTCATATTACATGTAAGTCACACATCTCGGCTTGCTCCAGCAGCTAAAGTGTGCTAAGAATCCCAATTCTTGATGAAGCCCTGAGCCCTCGTTGTTGGCTTTCATAAGGAGACTACTACTGGCTCCTGTTAATTAAATTTAGAAAATTTACTGTGGCATTATCCTGTCTGGTGCCTAAATTAAATGCATGGATGATAATTCATTTATTGAAA